CATTATGTACTGGTTCCGTCCGACGTCTCAACATTTATGATTTAACATCCGGTAGTAAATAAGCATCATGCCAAAAACACACAGGTGGATATGTTCACAACCGGATACCCAGAACCGTTTCTGACAGGGCCTCAAAAAAGGACACTTCCAAAACCTTATGTACTGGTACCGTCTGACGGCTCAAAATTTATAATTTGTCATCCAGAAGTAAATAGACATCAGGCCATGGACCGAAAGGTGGATCTCGCCACATCTGGATACCCAGAACCGGTTTCGGCACAGCCCAAAAAGAACATACACTTCCAAATCCTCATGTACTGGTCCGACGATTAAAAATGTATTATTATTCATCAAGAAGTAAATACGCATCATGCCATGTACCAACAGGTGGATCTGGCCTCTTCTGGATACCCGAATCCAGTTCCGGCTGGGCTCCAGAAAGCTTTCTTACAAAACCTAATGTACTGGTACCATCCGACTGCTCAACATTTATTATTTTTCATCTAGAAGTAAATAGACATCACACCATGGACCGACAGGTGGATCTGGCCACATACCCAGAATCGATTCCGGCAGGGCCAAAAAAGGACACTTCCTAAACCTCATGTACTGGTCCCGTCCAACGGCTCAATATTTATGATTTATCATCCAGAAGTAAATAGACATCATGCCATGGACCAACAGGGGGATATAACCATATCTGGATACGCTGGACGGTACCAGTACATGAGGATTAGGAAGTTTCCTTTTTGGTCCCTTCCGGATCCGGTTCTGGGTATCGGGATGTGGTCAGATCCTTCTGCTGGTCCATGGCATGATGTCTATTAACTTCTGGATGAAAAATCATACATTTTGAGCCGTCGGACGGTCCAGTACAAGAGGTTTTTGAAGTGTCCTTTTGTGACCTATCGGAACCGGTACCAGGTAGCCTAAAAGGCCAAATTGAATAAATCCGTGGCAGGGTGCTATTCTAAGAGTTTTTCAGTTGAGGCCAATAGATCAATAATCGGTTTCAAAAATGGATTTTTGGGAGCGAGTTGCAGTTTAGGTCTTTTTAGACCCTAATGCACAGTGTGTCACTTTTTCCTAATGCATTAGGATGGTTAAAATGACTTCATCTACAATGTTTCCATAGAATTTTTACACAACATAAAAAACTATTTTTTATCTGAGTGTATACCATCCTTAATCAAAAATGTTTAACACTCAAATAAAGTTTTCAAAAATGAAGAAACATTCTATTACTATCCTAAACTCAATAGTTTTGTCGCAAATGGCCATGTCCCACTTTTTTTTTATTTCGTCCCACTGTGCGTTGTATTTAAATAATACTGTACTACTTGGAAGTAAATGGCAACTTCAACTACTTACGTCCATATTTTTGTTAAAGATGTCATTTTTTTTATCAGGAACATATAAAAAAAAATCGTTTCTGGGAAAAAAAATATTTTTAAGCTTTTATATTTATACGTTGCAATTTTTTATAGAGTACATATTTTTTCATATAGTCCCGAATAACATTGCCGAAGGCACCAAACCGATCGGTCAAACCATTTTCTGAAGATGAGCTTATTTTTTTTCTATAGACCCTTTTCAAAAATAAGGCTCGATTCAAAAAGGCGGTTTGTGGATGGAAAATGGAACCTTTTGGGCAAAAGGAACGTTTTTGCAAATTTTTATCTTAACAAAAAAATACAAGAACAAATGGATTAGCCTATTAGTATGGAAACACTCAGTAACAAAAAAAACATGTGTAGGGTTTTCAAATAAAGCATATCAAAAATGCTTTTTTTTTCTGATATTGGTAACAAAATGGACAGTGTAAAATTGACTAAAATCGTAAAACATCAACGTTTAGTAAATTTATTTCTACAAAAAAATAATCAAAAAAAAATAATAATTGTGAGAAAAAGTTTAACATTGATAAACTTTCAAATGATTTTTTTTTTTGTTATTGAAATTTTTGACGTTATTTATTTATTTTTCGACGAAAATGTGTGATTTCTTTCAGTGTGTGTGTGTTTTTTTTAAAATAGACAATCCAGTTTCCTAATACTTTGTCTCAGACGTCATTTCGATTAGATGAGCCGCTTTCGTGCTAAGATTCATTGAAAAATATTGAAAACGCCATTTTGAAAAATTAATCGGGAGTCAAAATGGCTGAATTCCAGCATAAACTTGGTTCATTGCTCCTAGTGAACAATAATGTGAAGTTTCATAGATTTCGGAAAGGGTAAAATAAAATCCATTCGTCAGTTGGCGTGAATTTTCTTTATTGCATAATGAAATTTACAGTGACTTGTCACTTGTAATTCAATGTATTTTAAATGGGAACTGCAAGTTACAAGTTTTCTTGTTTTCGTCACTTATAATATTTTGACGTTTGTCAAATATACAGTTTTGTACACATTTGTTTATATATTTATAATTTTTATGTGTTTCCTACGACTGAAAGTATCTTAGTTGGTTTTCCCCCTCGATTTCCCTCACCACCCTAAAGTCTGGAACGCGCAAAAATTGGTCAACTTCAAATTGGTGTATTTCTGTTAAAAATGCATAAAAAATCTGAAATGCTGCATTTGGAAGTTGAGTGTATATACAATGGTTGTTATGATGAGTTTTCACCACTTGCTCTCCAGTTTTCAAAATGACGTCCAAACAATAGGAGCAGCGTGTCAAAATTTTGCTCGCGCAGCTAGAGAATCCAACGTTCTCACAAGCCAAGTTGGAAAAATTGCTGAATGTGGCCAAATCGACCGTGACAAACGTTTTAAAAGTGTTCGGGGAGGGGCTGTCGACCGCCAGGAAGCCTGGAAGCGGCGGCAATAGTAATCCGGAGGTGTCAGCGACGACGAAGAAGGTGGTGATGAAATATAAGCGGAATCCTAACCTCTCCATCCGGGACGTCGCTGGTAAGCAGCGGGCCAAGAAATAAGCCGGGTTGTCGACGTTTAAGAAGGTGAAGGAGGCGAACCGAGATTACAAACAAAACACGTCGGCAAAGCAGCGGTCCCGAATGCTGTATACGAATCTGCTCACAAAGTTCGACTGTGTCGTCATGGACGACGAAATTTATGTGAAGGCGGATTTCAAGCAGCTTCCGGGACAGGAGTTTTATACCGCATCAGGAAAATCAAACTATCGAAGTTCCCGAAAAAATATCTCGTCTGGAAGGCCATATGAACGTGTAGTCATTTTCATTACTACGGGAACCATCAATCAAGAGATCTACGTCCAGGAGTGCCTGGAAAAGCGGCTGCTACCATTCCTAAAGCAACATGATAGACCTGTGCTGTTCTGGCCGGACTTGGCGAGCTGCCACTATGGAAAAAAGGCAATCGAATGGTACGATGCGAACAACATGGTTGTGGTACCAAAAGACCACAACCCTCCCAACAGCCCAGAACTCCGCCCTATCGAACGGTATTGGGTCGGTTCGGCGGCGAATAAGGTCGATGAGACCACTGTGCAAAATTTAATGGATGGGGTTAAGCGGAAGGCACGGCAGTTCAGATTTGGCAAACCAAAAGAATAAACGAACATTTTTTCCTTTAAATATATGAATTGAACTACCAAAAGAAAAATAAGAAGATTTTTGTGATATGAATTTTGACTGAAAGAAACGATTTTTTTGTTGACCAATTTTTGCGCGTTACAGTCTTTAGTTCTTAAGAATACTCAATTTAATTTGCACTATGATCTAGCTGCACACTCGGATTTGCTGTGTATCATATATTTGATGTAACGAGATTCGTTTGTAACTCTCCAACGAAAAGAGATAGCAAGTGCCACCTAGTACTGAAAGTGCTTAGAATAAATCATTTACGAGAAATCAAATTGATTTAATAAGGGGTGACCCTGGTAATTAACAAACAAGTATGATAGACAGTTGGTGCTTCAAATAAATTGTTCTACAACTTTGTTCAACATTGTGCCGGTCTATTTCAAATAATTAAAAAGATCATATTTAGAACACCTTTACCTATTTACCTAAAACTAATAGTTTAGGCGTAAGCAATTGTTGTTTCCTTCGAAACCACTGTGCAATCTCACAATCACACAGTCACAAATTTCACAACCGGCCAAATTGGATGAGCTTCGGGCACTCTGATTTTCATTTCAAGGTTCCTTTTATGTTGACGTTGACATTAATCAATACAATCCTAGTTAGACAAACGTTACTCTAATCAGGGCGGCGCATTAAACGTTAATTCGAGTTGGAGCTTACCCCACACACCATAAACAGTTGAACATAATTCTTATGGAGGCGCCCGATTCTTTTGTTTCAACATTGCATATTGATCCAACGACCATGGAGTCTCCATTTTAGCAATGTTGAAACGCAAATTAATACCAACAGCACCTAGGCTTGTTTCTTCACGGCTAATTTGGATTTAATTGCAGGCAGGTAACCACAACAAACTCCACGTGTGTACATATAAACACAGATGAGCATTCGTAGAGACAGAGACCCGCCGCAAAACAGTTTATTTCGATTTAATTACCCGTTAGAAATAACAACTGGCCCGAACGAACCGATTGAGCTGGTTCGGAAACTCATCGCAAGAGAATGGACGCCACCGGCGCGCGGGTCGATTTGTTGCCAGCTTTGCACTGAGGAGATTTCCTTCTAAAAATATCGCCCTGGCAAGATGTAAATAATCACAGAAGACCGCAAGGCGTACGTAGGCTATTTTTAGTTTTGCGTCTTGTTCTACCCATTCCGGTGTAAGATGGTAGGTAGCTAGGTAGGCCTAGGTACCCACTCTCGCCTTGTACATGATGGGTAAATTTGTTTCCGTCTCGTTTAGCAGTTGTACTAACTGTGATTTCTTGTTTGTTTATTTGTTTATCCTCCACTCATCAATTTACGCGTTCCCGATCCGGACCGCGATTTTTGTACGTGGATGCTGTTTCCGAAGACGACGACGACGACGACGCCACCAGTTTTCCTACTGTATCAATGTGTAACTCATTCCCTTTCTTTTCCACACTTGCAGATTTTGGTCTCGCCAAAGAGTATATTGACTTAGATACGAATAAACACATACCATATCGAGAGCATAAGTCGCTGACGGGCACGGCGCGGTACATGTCGATCAACACGCATATGGGCAAGGAGCAATCCCGGCGCGACGACCTGGAGGCACTCGGTCACATGTTTATGTATTTCTTAAGAGGTTCACTGCCATGGCAAGGTCTGAAAGCCGACACACTCAAAGAGCGATACCAAAAAATTGGTGATACGAAACGGGCGACACCGATCGATGTAAGTACTCGACCGAAGATCGACTCTCAGCGATTGGTTTAATCGTTCTCCTCTTTTCCACAGGTGCTGTGCGAGGGACACCCAGAGGAATTTGCGAAATACCTGCGCTACGTGCGGCGGCTAGACTTTTTTGAAACACCTGATTACGATCACTTACGGAGATTATTTCAAGATTTATTCTATTTTAAAGGTTACGTAGACGACGGCGAATTCGATTGGACCGGAAAGACGATGGTGAGTACCGCCCTGCGGATGCGGGTTCATCCCGTTGTCCTTTGAGTTTTTGTTGTTGCCCATGGTTTCAAGCGACTACCTTTATTAGCCTCTGCTGCGACGAGAAAAGCAACTGATTCGAGAGTCCAACCTATAGGCAGACCTGACCACCCCACTCAAGATCACCTCCCGTTTTTGGTCCCGCGTTCCCAAGCTCAAGACTAAATCAATTGACGTGTAAATAAATTCAAACCGATTGTGAATCCCCACGACATCCTATGTATACATAATGATTTTTTCGAGCATAAATTGATCCCTCCCCACACCAATCAGCAGTGTCTATTTATTCCAAATTTGAGCAGAACTATCACCTACGTCGTCGATTCTAACTGATGCTTTCCCTATTTCCGCATGTCAGCCGACCAACTTCTATGCTATGCGTCAGCTACGTAATGCTCCGCCGTCACACATTGTCAAGACGAAATCTGCCAAGGTGATAATTGGGTTAAGATTTATTATTCGCAGATAGTTAATGTGTAGTAGTGCTAGGAGTAATATTGTATCATTCCGCTAGTCTCGGTTGGTAGCCTTCCTTCAGCTCTACTGCTGCCCGGTTGTCGTTTGATATGTTCAATGATATTGTTCGCATACCCATTTTGGCTCTTAGTTATGGGGGGAATTGAGATTTTTGGTGAGGCCGAAATGGTTACAGATCAATTTCGTATTTGAAGTCCTTGTTCTTGTTGGGAACACGGCTTGTCCCAAACCTTGGATTAATTAATTTTTCATTAATAATAAAAGTTAGTTTTGGTTCTAACAATTCATAAGTCGATTAGTTTCAACATCGACGGAGATTTGAATTCTTCGATTTTATGATAATTTCCCTTACAAATAATAGGGCTTCTGATAAGCCAAACCTCCTTCCTACGTTTAGGATATTGAAAACCCATTTGATTTAGGAACGTCCGTACACAACCTAGCTTTTGATGATGATAATTTCAGTGTACGTACATGAAAGTAGCGTTGGAAAAGTTCGCGAGTCATAATGAGTTTTGGTGAACTTTTCCAACATTGCTTGTGAAAGTTCATTATTCCTCCACAAGGTACAAGGGGAATTTTTCCAATATTCAGAATAACTTGCTTTCTTTTGTTAAGGGATGGTAATCTTCGCTATGTATGGTATCGATGTAGATGTGTTGTGTCCGATTCTATAGTGTGGGGGCGGCGAAAATAAGCTCCGCCAAGGGCGGCAAGCAAAACGGGAGAATTTGAATAGAATAGAGGGTCCATTTAGATCAGTTCCAGGCCAAATAGGATAAAAATTTAATACTTGACCTTCTCCGATTCGCATGAAACTTTGCATAGTTATGCGTTTTTTTTTAATTCGGCCATTTTGGAGCTTGTATTTCTTTCTTCAATATGGCGTTTTTGACATTTTTTAATAAATTGTAGCACTAAAACGAAATGATATCTAAAACAAAGTTGTTAAGAAAAATAAATGAATTCTGGGAAAAATACACACGCTATGTTTTGTTAGTAATTTAGAGTCAAAATTCAAAGTATATCTTCAGCATTTTTAATTTATTTTGACGTAGGACTACGTCTTTAATTTCTATACTGGGGGTCACATTTAAAAAATGAAAATTCAGACATGTAACGAAAAATCCCAAACACGGACGCAACGATAGAGCGCAAATCGAACAAACGACACATTGCGCATGCTCACATGAGCGAGCTCAATGCTCGGTGGATCGCTCACCATTTCACCAATAAAAGGAAGGGAGGAGAAAAGCAGCGATAATAAAAACGCTTGCCGAATCGTTTTCTTCGTCATTTGCTTTCGAGCAACGGACGGATAAGCGCCGGACACGACGTTTGAGTAAAACAGCACGCATTGCAACAATCCAAAGACGACCAGACGACAACGAAAGCACCCACATCGACCGGTGGTAAGGCTTCCCGCAATAGGCAGCATGACTAGGTCGCCGTCATCTGGTCGGCATCGACTTGCACTGGTGTGGCTACCATTTGAAAAACAACCGGCCCTTTTCAGGGTCAACAATTCAAAAACGGAAAGAGATAAGGTCTAAATGATCAACATAGTTTTTCCGTCCACTAGCGGTCCTACGTCAAGCTTCCGTTCGTGCCCGTAGGCACAAGCACTTCAACTTTTTTTAAATAAAACTTATGAAAAATGCATATTTTAGGAGTATTTAAAACCATGGACACTTGAAAATTGGCAAGAATCGTAGAACATCAAATTTTGATCATATTTTTAAACTTTAAACTAGCTTTTTCATGTAATTTTTGCACAGATAACGATTTAGAATCTTTAAAATATTGTTTCCTGTGTAGAAATTAAATTAAAAAAACGTACTAGCAAAAAGTTCATCTTGGTCGTTTTGAAAACAAATATAGCATACAAAATTGCCGAATATTTGTAAAAATGTGAATGATTGCCCATAACACACAATTATGTTAAGTTTTATGCATATCGGAGATGGTCGAGTTTTTCCGATTCGTCATTTGACGTGGAACTGCTCTTTAGCAACTTTTCTATGAAGTCGATTATATGGACATTTACACTATCCGTCATAAGTATGGAATCGCTCGAAAAAGTATTGCAACACTCTTATTGAATATTAGGGTGCTTCATTTTGAAAAAAAAAACTGATAAATTTCTTATAGGCCACTCTCTTGTTCGATTCGATATCTCAAAATATGCAAACAATTGAAGTGTGTATGGAGATTTAGGTGAATTACTATAGGAAATTATTAAGTTTCACTTACATTGCACAGTGGTCCAGAATGCAGATTTAGGTGGAATGATATGTTTTGAGACTGAAATTGAAACTTTAGACTAAAAATCTCTACAAAGTTGTTCCTTATAGTTCGGCCCTCATTTTTATGACAATGAATTCTAGGGTGGTTCTTATTATCATTAAAATCAAAAATCTAACTTTTTTGTTTGAATAAATTAAGGTATACATTTCAAATTTCTCATGAAAGTCATCCCCTAGAAACTTTTAAAACTCTTTAAGGCGAATGTTTTAAAGCGAAATTTGTTGTCTGTATCTCTTCTAATAAAAAAGAAATACCCAAATATAGTAAAAAAAAAAATGAATAAATTCGAATTGATTTTATACGAGTTTAAAAAATAACATACTTCCAATTTTTCCATATTATTGAGTATAATATACGCTCTTTCAAATGCCGTATATAAACTTTTTTTTTGTTTGCCCCAACCAGAGATATTAACATTTGAAAAATGCATATTTTTAGTACAAAACCGTCAATAACTCTTGATCGGCGAAAGATATTGACAAGCTTTTGGTAGCAAAAATTTGTGCCTTCTAAAGATCTAAAAGTCATTTGAAGACACCTTTGCTGAGAAATTTGAAATAAGAAAACTAGAGCAAAATAACTTTTTTTTTAGCGCCACCCTAATTCAATTCAAGAAAATAGCTCTAAACCGGCCAATTTAAGAGACACAAAAAAGTTGTTTTCAACAAAGTTGCTTGAAATTAGCTCAGCTATAACTTTGCCAAATAATGTATACCTTAATTTATTCAAACAAAAAAGTTAGAATTTTGATTTTAATGATAATAAGAACCACCCTAGAATTCATTGTCATAAAAATGAGGGCCTAACTATAAGAAAGAACTTTGTAGAAGAGACTTTTAGTCTAAAGTTTCAATTTCAGTCTCAAAACATATCATTCCACCTAAATCTGAATTCTGGACCACTGTGCATTGTTCTAACTTTGGTTATAGTTGTCCAAACGATGGAAATATTTGATGTGTGGTTGTCATGACAATGAATAACAAGTTTGTTGTTGATGCTGTTGTCTTGAACATTTGCATCTATCAATCTACCCTATTTTGTAATTTTTTCACATTTCTATTTATCTTGATATGCTGTAAAACTGACCGTAACAACAACAGACCCGTTGGTCATTGTCATAGCAACAAGTTATTAAAAATTAGCAACATTTTTACCAGTTTAATCAAAGTTAAGGGATTATTATAGGATTTTTTAAATTCTTCCCTAGAAATTCCCATACAAATTTCAAAACATTTGCGCGACCTCTAAATCATCATCAATCTTTACAATTTTTACACAGACTCATATTTTGGGGCCATGAATCGAATGGAAGGGTGAGCTATAAGAAATGAGAACCACCTTATTGAATATTGCATCACTTTGAAAAGTTTAGCATCACCCAAAAAGAATGTGAATTCGTGGGGTGATGCTAACATTTTCATGGTGATGCAATATTCAATATGAGTGTTGCAATACTTTTTCAAGCGAGTCCATACTTATGACCGGTAGTGTAGTTTTTTTCGGGTTCAACTGCGACCATTACCTTGATCTATTGTGATACATTCCCCGTTTTTATATTGCTTTATAAGTATGTATGCATCACTATTTTGTGAAGCGACCGACATGGACTGACCAAAAGCATTTTCCCAGTCAGGTAAATATTACATTTCGAATGGAATGTACTACTTGACTGGGACCTGCATTTCAAATATCAAAGGGTTCTGCCAGTTCCTTATCCAGAAAAAAAAACGCATTTTATTGAAGATTGCAGGTGTTCAGAGCTTTCATTTTCTATGCCACAGAATCGACACATATCCTCTTGAAGTTAGACACTGAGATGTTTCTTTGGTAATTCAAGAATTCTGCTAGTAATTGAAATGTTCGGAATTATGAACCGTTTTGACTCACTAGCAAAGGAAGTGTTGTTCCAGTTGGTCTCCACATTCATTTTTCCCATTTATTGATCTCCATTTTAAGAGAACAAGCAGAAACTCCACAGAATGTTTATTTAATAACTAGTTCGTTTATTTACTAGGCTCAGTCGTGTGTGACACTTTGCGGAGTCAAAAATACGTAATTTTTTAACTAACATTTTAAACACCAGTAAATCTAGATTAGTATTGGGTACCAATTACTCGTGGCGGGCTCGAGGTTAATGGGTAACAATTTCGATTGGAAGGAGTTAGGTAGGAAAAAGGTTCCTGAAGCCTCATTCAGATACTATTCTCGAACGGTTGACCAAATGCTGGCTTGGCAGGGGCAAGTAGCACAGAAACAGGTGGATAATAAGACTGGGACACAATGGCTGGAAAATGTGTTGAAAGGAGGGGATGGTCACACAATCAAAGGAATTCGTAGATCGCCTGCATGTAGGAAAGATCACGGGTTCACAATACATCTCTTACTGCACGAAAGGGTTGTCTACCTCGGGCCACTAGGGTATCCAATAATCGTGCTCTGGAGGCGTCCTTACCCGGGCAATGCCAAACTGCGTGATCGATGTCATCATAACCGGTTCTGCACTTACGAATATTGCTGTCAACGACGTTTATTATGTAGAGATGTGTGTCTAGCGAGTAGTGGTTGGACTTGACACCACGCGAATGAATCCCCGACTTACATCCGGACCTTTGAACCACGCTTCATCACAAAATTTCTAATTCATAAATT